ATTACCATTTACTGATATTTTTGTAATTCTCTTGGGGTACAGGTGCATCCAGATGATAAGTCTCAAATGGGTTGAAACAGGCATCTTAGATTCTTCTGCTAATGAAACAACTAAACAAATTACCAGAACTGCAGTTAAGTAAATACGGTGTACTGAGATGCATTTCATCCATTTGTAAAACTGAAAAAACAAAAACAAAGCAGTTTATATACAATTTTCTTGTATATTATCGAAAACCTAATCGTCTGATTACTGGGAATCAACTAACTCAATACTCAAACTGATTTTGAAGCAGATTGTACTGATTCACTTGCTAAACGGAATATTGTCTGTATAATTTTGTGAAAAAAAGCTTATTTAAACAAAACTACCATGAATCAACTATCGAAAGTGAATCAGAACTATAAATGAGGTTAGTTAGAAGTGTTGACAGTTCGAATTATCAGTCAACATCCAGTTTTTTATTAGTGCATATAAACTTCGCTGATAGACACCAAAAAGCTTGAAAACGAGTTAAAGACCTTCTTGCTGACAGATTCTCATCAGTTGACATCAATGTATAGTGTATCACAATGGTAGGCCACCAGGAACATACCCTCTCTTGGCCAGTTATTATGTATGACCTAGCTTCAGAGAGAAGTCTTGGCTTAAGTAGCTTGGGGTTTTTCACTTAGGCACTGAGTGATGCGATTTAAAATCAATGAAAAGCCTGAAGCTACCACATAATCTTAATATTGTTTTCTGTTTGATTTTCTGCGTGTATAATTGTATTCATTACTTATAGTACATTATTATTATTTATTTAAAACTCACATTTTCATTGTATTTCTAACCTGCCAAGCTAGTTTTATATCTATTAGTTGGTTGGAGGTATATGGAAGGAAGTCCTATTTCACTTAGGTTTTGCGCTTTTTGACACTTGTCAACAAGGGGTATCTGAGACCTCAACAGACCTAATGTCATGCTTAAGATTCGAACCTGCGTTACTCAGTATTCTAGTCAATGACATTACTATCGAACTTTTGGCACCTTTCTTCCAGTACCCTTGAAGTTGCAGATACGCCTTGCTGACGAGTAGTGACAAGTACAAAACACAAAAGAGGAAGGGCCTCATGTCGACTGTCTTTAAACAACTAACATCCATCAAAGAGCACCAGGATGATAAGTTTCTTAGCCTGATGACCATATTGTGAAATCATCGACAGAATTCGGTCAGCACTCAGAATATCAGATTGATTCCTCTCCAGTAGCCAATCAACGTAGCTTAAGATCTGACGTTATCTCTTGTAATTTCCCATTCTTGACTGAACCGAATTGATTGGTCACTATTGGCAGTATGAACTCCTGTGCAGATATCCCAACACTGCCGGTATTTTCAGTTTGATAATAATAATAATGGACAATAGGCACCAGTATAGTCCACAAAAATGCCTTCCTTCCTATTTAGGATGCATCAGCTGAGTGTACATGTTACTCAGTGACGGATAGTGTTCAAACTAATATCAAGTCTAAGTGGTTTTGTGTAATATACCTTGACGATTGAGATGATTGATCTTGGATCTGAGATTTATTGGGAAAAAATCACTTATAGGAGGAGAGATACATAAGACCGACGAGTCCCAGATGGGACGAAACGCGTGTCCTTGGTTTTATTGCCAGTTACTATCCATCAATACGATCATAGCTATCTATTTTTCTTCCATTTTCATTTTTAATCCACACCTTCCTTAAATACCTCATCAGACAACAATCAGAACCAAAATGAAGTTTGAAAATGAGGTAGTTAGAAGTGTTGACACATTAGATTTGTTTTTTTTTATTTGTAACACACAGTAAGTGATCTAGTATTATTTACTTGATAACGTTTCGATCATAAATTACTCTATTGCTCATAATCATATCAGTATGTAATCATACCACCTTCGACATCTAAATTTTTATAGTTATGTCACTTCATATGAGTTTATTTTATTATTAACAAGACATGTATCAGCTAAGAAGAAGCATTTCCTTTCAACGACTTCATTATCAAGCTGTACAGTAGTTATATTTATACTCAGTAAAATGACAGATAATTGTACTAAAAAGAGACTTGCTCAGTCAATATACAAAATATACAATCAGTGTAGGTGGTGGTATTTGTTCAAATGGAAGAAATAGAAAAGGGGTCATTGAAAAATCTTTAGGTGCTGAGTGTCCAAATTCAACAAGGTGTTCACATATGGATGAAGTCATTTTCCTTTGCTCGCCTCTCGATTTTATTATTAGTAGCAAAATTTTCCATATCTCTGGTATGCATGGCTGTTACATCATTTCTATTACATGTGTAGGCTGGGTGTTGGCTGTTTCGATAAACAAAGATTCAGTAATCAGTGTCTCTCTCTCTCCACCTACTTATATTGGACTTGAGTACAGTGGCTTTATCCCACCCTACTGTGTGATTGTGTGTTAATTCAGTCATAACAATAGCAGAGTTTTTTCTAGACTATTTAGGTCTGTTATTCTATATTTAGACAAATTCCTATGTTCGACTATTCTAACTGATCCCGACCGACTAGTTTGATCTATGTACTTGACCTGACTCAGAGTGATTACATAGAATTTGATAGATTATATTATTTTGTTGAATTGGTTCTAACGGATCCTTAAGCCAGCCGACAAGGTTTATCTCTTAGTGAGTTTGTAGGTTTTAAATGCCACCCTAATTCCAGCTCGGTTTAGGATTCTATGTAAAGTTTCTGAGGTACCCTACTTATAGGGTAATACAATGGAGGCTGCGAAATCCTTTTTACTCGTGTGGCCGTTATTTTCTTTGTTTTTTGTGTGTCCGTACGAACTTCTTAGTAATCTGTGGAGGATAATTATTAACTGTTGGCGCTTCTTTTACGTGTTTCAATTCCTTGTTTAGGTTCTTGCTCTGATTAGTCAGCTTTCTAGCTCTATCATTGAGATATTTGACTAACCCTGACTTAACTGATATTGGATGAGATGATTTGAAGTCTGAATGCCTGTTCAAGATGAACTCTGTCGGCTTAAGGATCCGATAGAACCAATTCAACAAAATAATATAATCTATCAAATTCTATGTAATCACTCTGAGTCAGGTCAAGTACATAGATCAAACTAGTCGGTCGGGATCAGTTAGAATAGTCGAACATAGGAATTTGTCTAAATATAGAATAACAGACCTAAATAGTCTAGAAAAAACTCTGCTATTGTTATGACTGAATTAACACACAATCACACAGTAGGGTGGGATAAAGCCACTGTACTCAAGTCCAATATAAGTAGGTGGAGAGAGAGAGACACTGATTACTGAATCTTTGTTTATCGAAACAGCCAACACCCAGCCTACACATGTAATAGAAATGATGTAACAGCCATGCATACCAGAGATATGGAAAATTTTGCTACTAATAATAAAAACAACTCATATGAGGTGACATAAGTATAAAATCGTCTGTCGAAAGTGGAGTGTGATTATATACTGATATGCTCGAACTATCATGAAGTAAATACTACTACATCACTCACTGTGTGTTATAAATCAAATAAACAAATCTAATATGGAATTATTTTCTACCAAAGTGCTGAAGTTTTACATCTATATTAAAGAAGGGTTGACAGTTCAAATTATCAGCCAATCTCCAGTTTTCTTATTGGTGCATTTAAACCTTGCTGATAGGCACCAAAAAGCGTGGAAACAACTTACAGGGCCTAAGGCTTGCTTGAACTTTAGGCTACCAAAATCATTCATTGAACATTTTACATCAAATTCTCCATTTTCAATTTGTTTTAATCATTTAAATATGTCCTTTGAATGTATCATGTACTCTGTCACATTTTTAAACTATCTCGAACTCTCTGCTTCTCCAGTTACTTACATAACAGAGAAAAATGTTTATGTTATATGGAAGTGGGCTTTTCAATGCACAAGAGTATATCAAATTTTTATCCATCAGATGCTTAACTTGAGTTACCGATGTTTGTACCAACTGGATGGACCGCCACCACCAAACTTATGCTTGTATTTCTGTTGATTGTTCATTATGGACTGGATGCTCATCCAGAACCATCTGGCTATATCATATTATTGTTTTGAATACTGTTATTATTAACATCGTTCAGATGGAATAACTATTTTGTTTGAAAGTATTGTTGTGTGAGAGAATTTGTTGGGAAGTTGAATGCTTGGAATTCCATGCTGTTATATATATTGTTTAGAATAAAGCGAGTATTACTATTATTATTACCACCATAAGTTGCTATATATACACTAATTACTTGTCTTTATATGTCAAGTAAAATTGCTATAAAATATAGGAATTTTATATTTCAAAGTTTAGCATGATGAGCCTTTAACACAACATATATTCACTGAAAACAGTAGTCTTGTTAAATAGATCTACCTTCATTTATTTAGGTAATCAAGTAAATAAAAAGGGTTTGATAGAAAAGTTGACTATAGACTAATCAGTAATCAATCTTTCTCTTCACCTAAGATATCGATTAATGAAATCATATAGGTGTACAGTTGTACATGATCTCCACAGTCTTCAACTTGGAGGATAAAATATACAGATAAACACAAGGAGTAAGAATGAAATCACCAATATCCCCAATCGTAGCAGATATATTTATGGATAGTTGGGAAAACATAACTCTACAGACGTTTAATCATGCACCGAAGATATGGTGGCGATATGTGGATGACATATTTACTCTGTTGAAATCGGGACATATCAACAGTTTCCTTACACACATTCACTCATTAGTGGACGCAATCCAATTCACTAATGAAGAAGAAAATCAACGAGGAGTCCCAAAGAGGACAAAATGCGAATCCTGGATTCTAATGTTAGCAACTATCCATCATCATAGTTAAGAACATAGTCTAAAATAAATGAGGATCAAGTAAGATACTGTAAATTTAATTCGAAAAAATTGACAGAAATAAACAGTTACAGTTGAATATAGTTTACTCACTCACTGAGACTCACCAAAGGGTTACAACTTCACTGGAATATGTTCGAATTGGTACAGACTGTGAACGTGCTAACCCTGATAGAGAAAGGAGAAATGAAGAAAAGGAATATCAGTTTGTTATTGGTTAGACGAAGCGATTTCAGAATGATACTTATCAACATCGATACAGATACATAAGGTTTTATACATATCATCCATCTGAGTAGCTTTAACCAATTAGATTCGAAGGTTAGACATCTATAGAGTCATTTTCATTGACTTACTTTTATGGAGCTGATTACACAGGTTGTACTTAGCGTGTTCTATGCAAATGTGCATCTCCAAACACTATTCTTCATAGCTGTCGAAAAGAGAGTGTAAAGTGATTAACACAGTACGATACTTGGGGAACCGGTTACCTCTGATCTCCTTGTCCCACCACAATCTGTTTTCAACGTCATTTACAAAGTGAAGGGAATGGGCAATTATCATCTGAACACACCAGAATCTCTAGCAATTCATCAGTTCAAGCCTGATTTTTGCGTTCAAAAGAGATACGTTCAATCTCAAATTTTATCTTGGTCATAATTTTCCTATGATATTTTATTTATTTGTTAATAATTTATAATCATTTTACTATCTGAGATAGTCATGATTTGGCAGATTAGTATTCATACTGCATGATGATTGAAGGTGAAAAGACCAGCGACCACCGCGTTTCCTGCCCGATACTCTACCAAATGAGCTACCAGGTTCGAATGTTCACCAGATTTTTATTTCACTTCAACCACCAAGGTTTTCGCCCGACCACCATTTGAATTCGTGACTTGTTACTATTGCTTGATCATACTCGTCAGGCTGGAAACGTGGTGGTCGTTCGTTGGAATCCTGAATTTCAAATTCACCTTTAATCATTATGTAGTATCAGTTATACAAGTCTACCAAACCAAGAATAGCTAAAAATGATGAAAATCGAAGAGTAACAATCTGACCCCTTCGAAACTTCCCTGTCACAGTTTCATTTGTTCCAACCTCCCTCTCTCTCTCTCTCACACACACACAGACATACGCTAACATACAATAGTAAATCCATAAGCTCTCGTCCTGTCTATTAACCAACTAGTTTAAGTTGAGTACTTTGGTGTGTATTCTTAATTGAGTCACTTGAAATGACTTGATATATATATATATATATATATATATATATATATATGCGTAATTATTTTCTTGTTAACACTGAAGTGAGTCTCGTTACTAGGTCACATTATACTAAAATAGAAACTAGTTTTCCGTTTTATTATGACTTGAGTAAAAGGACCTACTTATTAGATAATATATACACTTGCTTGGTGTGAAATAGTTGTAGGAAATCAGAGAAAACGGCTTCTGTTTTTCATACTGACTACTGAAGAAGTCGTAAAGCTTCCATTTCAACATCTGGCTATCTTCATGTAGTGTGAGATTTATGCGGAATTTTTATTTTTAAGGCAGTATTCATCATGGAATGACATCAATTGGAGAAGCATTGAAGATCTGGGAGCACTGGATAACTGTTTCATCTCTCTTTGTGAGACTCTTTAGCAGTAGGCCTCCACGACCCCGCAAGTGATCATATTCAACACCTTGATGTCTGACGGCGAATGTGGTGACCATTCAACCGTTAGGTTAGGGTCCTTATCGTTTAGTTTTAAAGTTGTAGACGTTAACAGTGGGGTGTGCCACTATCGACTGATTAAGGAAATGATGAAGTCATTCACAGGCATCGTTTATTAGATGCCAAATCAGTTCATATTGTCAGTACAGTTTGTGATGAGCAACTTTTGAGCTTGAGACATTGCTTCTCAGATCATCGGTAGGTTTTTTTAGACTTATGATAACCTAAATACTTAAATCGGACTAAAGAACAAATGAATGCACAGGGTAGTGAATAGGCTACTGAGTAGGAAGACAAGTGAGGGCATCAAGTTATGAGTAAATGATGAAAGTTGGGAATGTAAAAATGGTATTTAGTTTAATCGATACCCCGCCCCTGAATTCGACAGTCTAGCAGGAATGAAGGGTCTACTCGACATCACTGCTATTTTCTCTTTTCCGCTATGAAGGTACAAAACATGGCCATTAAAGAACAAGGATATGAAAAGGTATCATGAATTTGACTACAGTCATACTCATATCGTAAGCCGCGTGTCATGATATCACCAGGTGAGTAATGCAGATGTCAGGTGTAGAGTTTTATAGAGAAGAGAAAAATCAGTTAATACCGTTGTGAACCTTCATCGACTTGCGTGGATGGCATTTATGCTAAGCAAGTCTAGTCACTCTATATCTTGTTCTACAATGTTGTCTGAAGTAGATTTAGGCTGGAAAAAGTCATGAGTGACAAGATGAAGACATAGTGTCATTGCGTGTAGTCTTTAACTGTTGGTCTCAAATATTTTATGGTCGGCATGACTATAAAAAACCTGTGAATGAAATGGTTCAGAATTTATGTCAGTGGTGCAGATGTATCCACACATTATCGTCATCTAAAGCATCAATATTCGCTCTTTCCTCTCCTTTACTTCTTTCTACAACATTTGACTGTTTCTTTCCTATCTCTTTATGCTTTCATCCTAAGGCTTTCTTGGTTTATATATTGATATGAAGTGTACCAACTTGGGCTGTTATGCTGTGATATCTAATCCTATATTGATCTCGATGATTTCGATGATCATCAGCAGAAAAACATGTGTGAATGGATGAATATTTCGCTTAAGGAAAAGCATTAGGTTATATCTCTCTATTTCTGATGATAGAATTGATGGGTTAAGTCGAAAAACAAACTTGTAAACCAATACATTCACCCTCAGCTATTTACTTCACATATGGTTGGGATAAGATTTTAAGCGACTGTATAGGTTCTCTTGTTGGCTGTTCCTCTACTTGACCTCTGACCTTTCTGTCGTTTATCATTTTCTCTACTGATTCATAGACTGAGTGTATGTCTATATACCTGTTGATTATTAAATGACTGACTGACTGACATGAATGTCAAACTCCTAGGAATTCTCTGATATTCTTTGTGTTTCCTCTCTCCATCAAACATTTCTACATTGTCAAAATGGCAATCATGTCCATAGTTGTCATCCACATGCACTGAAATGAGCAGCGATGAGATGTCGTTTTGTCGAACAGCCAATTGGTGTTCATGTAGACGAAGGTGAAGAGGATGACCACTTTGTTCAATGTAGTGTTGACCAGAGTTATTGCAGTTGATTTTGTAAATGATATTCGGTTTGTCTTCTTTGACTGTTGCATCCTTTGATCAGTCTGCATAATAGTGTTTGTAGGGAATTTGTTGGTTGATGAGTGGCCACACCAATTCCACGTGGTCTGAGTAATCTCGTCATGATCTCTGATATATTTACGTAGAGTAGTTTGGTGTGCTTGTTGGTTTCGGTGGATGATTTTGTAGTTGATGGTGTCCGGGAGAGGCATCTTCTGTTAGAGTTTCGTGGGTAGTCGTTCTTCTTTAGGGAAGATATCAAGTGATTTTCTTCATTTCTCTCTGTGTGATTTCTCGCTCTTTTAAATGGAGTCCGTACGTAAATAATTTTATGCGTTGTTGGGTTGTTGCTACTTTAGTTGACTATTTGATTGATCAGTGTGAGTTCACATCACATATACTTGAGCTTGCAGTTCTCTGGTATTGGTTCCACTGACTAAAACATCCATCCTCCATTTTGAATCTGATGTCATAGAAAACATCGCTGATTAAAGTGTAAGTGTTTCCCAGATCATCTTTTTTAATGATGACAAAAGTATCGTCCACATAACGAATCCAAATCTTTGGTTTAATTAGAGGTGGAATGATGGCTTCCAGTCTCTGTACCTCTGTTTCTGTAGTTAATTCGGATATCAGTGATCTCATTGGGATTTCTTACATCTATCTGTATATTTTGCTGTTGAATTGGAAGTGTATTGTCTGGCAACGATCAGTGAATTCCATCAGACTTGAACACTTAAGTCTTATGAGTTCTGTAGGGTTTATATCTTCATTGAGCAGGTGGGACATAGTATGAAGAAGGCATACTTTCTTTATACATGCTTAAGTACATTGAATTCAGTTAATTGTTAGACATATTTGTATTTACCCAGATAATAACTTCAGTTGAAATACGATATAATTTGTGTTTCTTTTGAAAAACAAGAATTGTTCAACTAATATAAAGGTTTTCTGAGAGTGGCATGTATGAATGTACAGTGTTAATAATCTGTTGAATATTCATGAACCATACACCTATATGTATAATTCTTTCAAGGATACACTTGTCCTAATATTCCTAGAGGACATGCACTATGTGTGTTTCTTCATTTCAGTTATAAGAAATCCAATCCTACAAAAGGTTATTCGCTGCCTGAATAGCTCAAAGTAACGTCTCTGACTGCAGCTTTGGTTGGTGCGGGTTTGAATATCAGACAGAACTTCAGTTCCGTAGAGGTTGCAGAAACGCCGTGTTGACGAGTGTTAAGAAGCAGGAAACCTATGTCTAGAGCTTCTTGCTAATTGCTTTCACCTAACTTACTTCTATTAGAAGTAATTCTGTCTCATGAAGCCTGATGAAATCTCTTGTATGCAGATGTAATATCGACGAGTTTTGGCGTCACATGGTGGGAAGCCCTGCTTCAGCCCAATTTCTTGCTTGTTAGCACTTATTGTCGGTAAGGTGAGTATTTAGCTATAAGGATTAAGGTGTTCTGTTAGTGTTATTCGAATCTGTGTCACTCTCTAATGAAGTCGGAGACTCAGCGGATAAGCTAGTGAGCTCGTGCAACTAACCCCTTGTAGAAATGAATTCTGTACACAAATATTTTGGCTGTTAACATCAAGTATGATAAAAAACTTGAATAAATACTGACCAGAAAATGTGTTTAAATGAAAAGCATTGGGCACAGGGTAAATCCCATACATTCTTCCCTCTTGATTATTTCAATCATAGTTATAAGAACTAGATTTGAAGAATAAAACAGGCTGCTTGCAGACTACTTCCATCCAACTAGCAACCATCACGGTGAACCCCTCCCCCATTTAGTAACCACAGGGCAAAATGATAGAT